ATAACGAATTTTTTGGACAACTATATTAAATTTACCCTCGTTATAACGAACTAGCCAATCAAATTCTTTAAAAAATTTATTATAGCTCTATAGCGAAGTTGAAGTTCAGGACATAAAATTCGTTATATCAAGGGTTGACTGTATATCCAATTATCTAAATCAATAATTAGATATTATTGTAATTTAATAATATCTAAAATATCTAATTAAATAATTGAATATATATTTAAATTATTTAAATATATAGGATGAGTGCTAGGAAAATGGACCAAATTGATTTTTTTTTAAAAAAAAATTACTAAGTAAAATAGATGTAGATTTGGTCATCTGATTCAAATCATTTGTTATTTCAAAAAAAAAAATTTTTTGTTGATTTGGTCCTTTTTCTCAATACTCATCCTATATATCTAATTATCTAATTAGATTATTTTATTTAATTAATATTTTTACATATTTATATAATTTAAAAAAATTTGATTATTTAATTAAATTAAAAAATGAATTTTATCTTTATATAATTTTCAATTTTTATAAATATGCTATCACAAAAACATTTATTTACATTGTATATTATTGTTTAAAAAAAAAGCAATAAATTTAATTATTATTATTATATTATATTGTTATTATTAGGGAACAGTTTCGAAAACCATTGTTAAGTTCAAAGTATATTTATAATAAAAAAGACCAATCATGTATTAACTTAATTTTGAGCAAGCAGACAATAAGATATCTTGTATTACTAAGTATAATATTATATAGTCCTTCGTTACACTTCAAACTAATAAAATAAAATAACAAATACAAAATAATTAGTTTATTTTATTTAAAATCTTGCAAAAAAATTTAAGAATAAAATAATAAAGATAATAAAATAAAATTTTTTTTCTGAAAAATATGAAAAATATAATTTTAAGATAGAAAATATTTTTCTACTACTTCATTATTATTATTATGTAAGATTTTTTTAAAAAATTTTTAATTATTTTTTTTATAAATTTTAATAATAAATGATTATCATTTAAATTTTCTTTTTAAAATATTGATACGTTAACTAAAAAATTTGATTTTAAATAAAAAATAAAACCAAAATTATAAATTATATATCTCATTAATCAAAATAAGAAAAAAAATTCAATAAGAAAATTTGATCTTAAATCCTGTTATATATAATAAATAATGATTTATAATAAATTAAGTTAAATCAGGAAAAAAGTTACAAAGTTGATTAATTCATTTAAGGCAAGCTATTTATTTTTGATTGATTAAATAGCATTATTTCTGTAACCAACTACCCTGTCAAATTGCGATTGGCAGTGGGAAAAGACTGCGGTCAGTTGGTAAGCATGCAGTGAGGTGTATGTTAGTGTGGGCTGTTAATGTTTCAACAGACTACCTTACAATGCAAGTGAAAGACTGCATGTTTTGTTATTTCAGGTTGGTCAAATGTTTCTTTTTATTCTCTAATATTCTTTCTATAACAAGCTTGATAAACAATCACAATCATTAATTCCTCTTTGGGATTTACAAACGAAGAGACAAACCATTCATATGGAGAGTAAGATGCTTGAGAAGAAATCTCAGTTGCAACAAGTAAGTCATCTTCATGGTATATCTGAAATTTAATGGCTTGTTGTTTTGACATACTTCCTAACAATATTGGATTTATTCTGGCAAAGAACGAACTAAAAACCATATTCGTCTCTAACGGGTTAGTATGTTACTTGATACCTTATTACATCTGATCTTAATATTGTATGCTGAAAGGTCCATTATAGACCCGACAGATTCTGGATGCAACAAAAGATATCTGAAACCAAGATCATTTACTTCAGGAAACAACTGATAGACTAATTGAAAAAGATCTATCGGATGAGTCATATGCAAAGAATTTAAGACAAAAGCGATTTTACAAGCCTCAAGAAACAATTTTAGATTTCGAAAAAAATCCGTTTATAGTCAAAGAAAACAAAGATGAGGTACCAATCCAAGATAGCCCTAATTAATGATCCTTTTTAGAAGCGTGAATTACTGAATTACTCCATATCTGAGTTTGATGATGCATCTCGAGATTCTAGCATCGAAAATGTAATGAAGATATTACCAAAGAAAGTCTTGAAAATGATGAGGATGGTTCCTTACAAAATTAGAATATAAAATGAAGTTCCTTAATATGCGTTCAGATTAGAAGTGGAAGTTGCCATTATGTCGAATATATCTTGTGATATTGATCATGAGCATATAATTACATATAATACTTCATCTGAGCCTGAGGTATCAAACAAATTGATTGATTTTCTTGAATAGTGATCAATTTCGGCATCAATATCTCTCCCTATGATTCAAAAAAAAAATTTAAAATTTTCACTATCCATCAAGTTTTTCGTAACTTCTTCTCAGATACGAACTGAAATCGAAAAACTTCACAAGAAACCATTTGGAAGGATAGTTCACTAGCAATATTTGGATGCCTGCCTTATTGATCTTGAGTCAATTGAATTTATTCGAGGTGAAGGCAGTTCTCGTGCTTCAAGTCTGTGAAAAATCTGTAAAAGAAAATGTCTATAGGTTAAAAAGATTATGGGACGTAAATGTGACGGGATTGCTTGGGATTTGAGATCGTCAGAAATAATTTTTTCTCTCAATTTTACAAAATTTATTTTCCAACAATTTTAACAATTGAATCAATTTTAACAACCATGCAACAAATGCTATTGGTGATTTTTGTCATAATAAATGTCATTTACTATGCTTCAGATAAGCTTTGCAAGAAGACATGCTAATGCCAACGCCAATGCATATGACAATACCAACTAACAATAATGACAATACTAATAGTAATAACAACACCAACAACAATGCTAACACCAACACACCAACCAACGTTGAAAAACCAACAGAATGATATATTTTTGCTAAGATTCTGGAAGTTTTTCAAATAGACAAAAAGATGTGTCAAAACATTTTAATAAGAATAAATAAATTATAAATATTATATTATTTATAATATTTATTTTTATTTTTTTATTTTTTCAAGTCAGAGGTTCGTTTTTGTATGTTGTCTTTGAAAGTTGATTTCAAGATCAGCTACAAAAACCAAGACATCATTCTTCTATCAAAAGTGATAGAAAAGGTATATAAAGTATTTTGTTATTTAGCAGTTAGGATAATATTAATTATTATATTGTAACAATAGTTCAAAAAAAGAAATCTGGTAATTTAAGTTAGAATAGGATTATAATAATTGTAAAGAAAATTACGATAATGATAATAATAATAATAACCAACTTTCCGCCCAAAAAAAAAGAAAAAAAATAGTATAAATTACAGTCAACTCTTTCTATAGCGAATTTTGATATAACGAATTTCATAATATAACGGATTTACAATGTGATGCAGATTTTTAAATATAGAAAAAACCTTATTATACCAAATTTATTAAAATAAAATTCATATTACGTTTAACGAATTTAAGTGTGTGAATATGCATTATATAAACACCTCTTTGTATAACGCATTTATTTATAACAAAGATTTTTTTAATATAATGAAGATTTATAAAAATTAATTTTAATAGAAAAGATCATGAAATTTTGTAATTTTTTGTATTTTAATAAAGTTAATGAAAGTGTTTTATGTAATGTTTCGCAATTTTTTTATAAATACTTTGTTTCGCATGTTTCGCAATTTTTTTTATATTTTTTTAACATAAGAATGCAAAAGTAAGTTCTAGTAATAAAACTTTTAAAAAAAATGAAAGTCTCCTACTGTTACACAAAAAGAGATTTGTTTAAAAAAAACTTTATTCCTATTACTAAAACAAAAAGACCTAGCAAACAAATATGAAATTAGTAAAGGTATGGTTAGTGACATTTAAAGAAAAGGATTGTTAACTTGCTGTGGATCTCAATCATATAAAGCTGGGTTGAAACGTGAAAAAAAAATAACCTTTCCTTTTATTGAGAAAGCTTTAACTCTTTAGATAGAAAATGTGTTCCAAGTTGGCCTCATTATAACCAATAGTATTCTTTACAAAGGCTTTAAGGTTTGCTTTTTTGTGTGATGAGGATAAATTTAAAGGTTCCAGTGAATTGATAGATAATTTCAAGAAACAGCATAACTTACGGCAATATAATATACATGGTGAAGCTGCAAATACGTCACTTCATGATTTCGATGCAATGCGTAATAAAATTTGTAGTGTTTTTAAGAATTATGACCCAACGACGTTTTTAATTGTGATGAAACGGGTTTATTTTGGAAGATGAAATCCAGTCACACAATATCAAATGGCCAAGTATCTGAAATTAAATCAAAGGATCATGTAACTGTCTTACTTACATGTAATGCAATCGGGAATGAAAAGTTGGCTCCTCTTTTCATACACAAGTATGAAAATTCTCGGGTCCTGAAAAATATTAATAAGAAGACCCTTCCAGTTGAATATTACTGAAATAAAAAAAGTTGGATGTAAGTATCAATTTGAAACGAATATATTAAGAAACTTAATAACCAAATGATAAAGCAAAATCAAAATAATCTTCTTCTTGTTGATAATGCCTTAACACAGTGTTGGGAAATTGGACAATTTTAGGTAGTTTTAGACAAGTTTTGGACACAATTACATATATCCAAAATCTTGTCTAAAACTAAAAACGTGTCCAAAATCCATCACTGCCCTAACACATACTTTATATGAAACTACCTAATTAACAAATATTACCATCAAATACCTTTCTCCAAACACTACAGCGCATCTTCAATCTTGTGATCAAGGTATCATAAATAGTTTTAAGGTGAGAAACATATTCGATTTAAACATTCCTATATTTTATACTTTATTTATACTTTAATTCAAATTTAACTTGTTTTATGCATAATATCAAAAGCTTTATCTACAAAATTAGGTCAAATCTTTTGATTATTTTAATGATTATCGTATCGAACCTGTGGAAATTAATATTAAAAAGTGTGTAAAATATGTTTCCCGAACATGGAATAATGTAACACAAGAAACAATTCAAAATTGTTAGTTGAAAGCAGATATTCTGCCTAATAATGACAACGATAATGACGAAGAAGAAATCTTCACTGATATACAACTTGAACTTAAACGTCTAAGGGAATTGGAAGAAGTTTAAGTTTTAATTGACAAACTTGTTTTTGACGATCCTTTAACTGCTGAAGAATTTGTTTAATTTGATAAGTCCAAGATCACAAGAGAAATAATATTCGACGAAGAAATTGTAAAAGCAGTTTTACCTAATGAACAAGAACAAGAAAATAAAGGAGAAGAGGATTCTTTACTGATAATTACTCACAATGAAGCTATTGAAGCTTATGATAAAGTAATTTTATATTTGAAACAACAGAAGGAAATTTTCAATATGAACAATGAAGAATTAAAGCTTATTAAAAAGCTTAAAAAAGAAGCTTTGAAAAACCAGTTTATTTCAGCGAAATAAACTAATCTCAATAAGTTTGTTACTATAATTGAATAATAATAGTATTTTTTTAATGTAACAACGTTAATAATAATTTGGTGTCATTTTTTTTATTTTATAATTGTTTTTTTAACGCAAAAACGTTAATAATTTGGGAAGTATTTTTTTTTTACGTAATAAACGTAATAATAATAAAATGGTGTCATAAGAACACAAATTTTATGTATTGACTAAATAACACCCCCCTGCGATAGTGTTGAAATTGTATTGAAATTGTGTTGAAAAATTCATATTGTTTTTTATAATTTTTAACCAATTTGTAATGAATTTTTGTTGAACTTGTGTTAAAATTTCTATTGTTTTACAAATTGTGGTGTCATTTTTTATAATTTATATTTATCACCAGGTGATAAATTATTATTGTCTCTAATTGTATGATCTATCATATTAAAAAATTCGTTTAAGTTATATTTGTATTGATCTAATTTTATAAATAATACAACAGTTAAATTGTTTTTAGAATTTGAATTAAAATTTTAAACACAAAGAGTTTGAGCATTTCGATTGTGAGTTTATTGTATTATTCAAAATATCAAATCAGAATTTTAATTCAATAATAAAAAATTTTATTTTTAAAGGAAAGTATTTTATCATCATTTAATTATTTACTTTTAAAACTTAAAACTTTTAAAAACATAATCGCTTATTAATTCAAATTAATCTACATAATATTTTAATATTTTTAATTTTTATAAATCATCATAAAAATGACTGCCACAAGAATCATTTAGGAAGATGCAGAGACTGATTATTTGGTTGAAGACGCAACTATAAATATCATTATTTTTTTCGTGAAAATAAATTGAGATTTTAGTAGAGTGTCGCAAGAAGAATAAATTGACGATATAATGATGATTATTCTTTTCACCAATTCGAGCAGAAGTGGAGAAATCTGGTGAGAAATTATGGGGTAAGTAAGTAAATAAATAATAATATGTTGATAAATATAACTTAATAAATAATTAATATATATCCTTTAGGACTTTTATGATTAGCGTAATGGTGTAAGGAGAGGGAGAAGGTGGTTGTATAATGGGGAATGATTTTATAATCTATTCTGAATTAGGTTTTGGGATATGCTAAGTAATTATTAAAAATGTTTAATTGATAGTTCTTAATAAAAATTTTAGAAATTTTTAGATTTATATTATATATTTTAGTTATGAGGCATCATCGAAGGAGAGTCTGTAATATTCTGTCGGCAAACCAGTAGTTGGGGGGGTGAGGAGTAGGAGGTTTAATTACTTTTTGTTTTTTTTTTATTTTTTTATTTTTATTATGAGAATTTTTTTTTTTAATTTCTTTTTTTTACCAGGATGGGGGTTTTCATTTTGTTGTGTTTTATTTTTTTATTGTTTTTTTTTTATTATTTTTTATTTTTTATTTTTGTTTTTCGTATAAATAAATAATATTAATTAATTGTATTTTGAACTATCATTAATAAATTTTCTTACTTTTTTTCTTTTATTTAGTGAAGTGATCTCAAAACTTTTAAAAATAAATTTATATTTATTGTTATAAATTGTTTTATTTAAGATTAATTCCAATTTTTGCATTTCCAAAATTGCTTCAAAATCACTTTAACTTTAACTATGAAGAGGTTATTCCATAAAATGACATCATAAAATTAACTTTAATTATATCATAGTAAAATTATATTTGTATTTTCCTTTTTCAGTAATTATTTATTATACTGAATAATTCGTTATAGTAATAACAAATTTTCTTATAATAAAGGGTTGATTAGCTTAGACGCCAACTTCATTATATTGAGGTATGATTGTATCCTAATTATAGTATTAATTTAATATAAAAATATGAAATTAAAATTTACCATTTTAGTTTCTTAAATGAAATAACCAAATTGATTTTCTTTTAAATGATTTGGTGATGAATTAATAAAATCTAAAAATAATATTCTAATTGTAGTATAAATAGTTTAATATAAATATATTGATTAATAAAAATAAAATTTACCAGTTTTGGTTTCTTAGATGAAATTTTTAAACTAATAATCAGTAATAATAAATATACTGATCTAAAATAATATATATTCAGATTATAATACTAAATAATTCAATGTAAATAGATATGCTGATTAATAATAATTTAT